CTGGCAAGAGCTTGCGCAGCTGCCAAAAATATAGTACCCTAAATACTAGGATCCTTATTATAAGGACCCCCAAATAGGATACCCTAAACCCCCGAATTTTCGGAAACTCCTACATCGAAAATCTGCCCGTCGCAGAGAGCATAGGCCAAGCTGCTGCTCCCGAGAGTTGTGTCCGCTTGCGTGCCTGGAAGTCAGAAGGCACTCTATTCGAAAGATTCCCTAAACCCTAGGCCCTAAACCCTAAACCCTAAACCCCCAAAATCCCCAGAGTTTTGGGGGTTTCGGCGGTCGACAGGTTTGCTTTGCGAGTTTGGCTCTTCGAAACCCAACAGCACGGCCCCGAGGCTGAGAGTTCGGAGACGCACAGCGCGGCATGAACTCACGAACGTCTCGGCCGTCTCGGCCCTGAGCCCGAAAAGCCCTAAGCCCCGCTGCCCCACACCAACAAGCCGTAAACCAAAAACTCCTAAACCCCTAACCCTAAACTCCTAAACCTCTCAACCCTAAGCAGAAGCCAGCAAAAGTCCAAAGACCTGACTCTCCCAAATCTCCCAAGTTAGACAGACCCCCACATAAACTCAAGCAAAGACAGGAACTTAAATGTAACACAGCCGAAACCCTAAACCTCAAGACACCAAGCAGCATGAAACCCTTAACCGCATAAGCGATGCTGAACCTGAAAAGCCCAGCCCTAGATTCCAAAACCCTCAAACGCACACGAAACCTGAAACAGCAACACCTAAATCCTTAAACCCCCACGAGCCGAAACTCCAAAACCCCGCCATGCCTAAACCCTCAACCCTAAACCCTAAACCCTAAACCCTCAACCCTCAACCCTAAACCCTAAATCGAGACCCGATGCCCAAGACGCGGCCTGCTGCGCCTTCTCGCGCGTCTGCGAGAAGATCTGAGTCGAAAGGAACATCAGAGATCTCAAGTTTCAGAGGGTTTAGGGTGTAGGGGTTTAGGGTTTAGGGTTTAGGGGTTTGAGGGTTTAGGGGTTTGGGTTTAGGGGTTTAGGGCCTTTTAGGGTTTAGGGTTTAGGGGTTTGAGGGTTTGGGTTTAGGGTTTAGGGTTTAGGGGTTCGAGGGTTTAGGGTTTAGGGGCTTAGGGGTTTTTTTGTCAGTGCCATG